CAGAAGCATCTTTGAAGAATGGTTTGAAAAGATGGGGGGGATGAGTGCCAGGGAAACAGAAAACATAATGGTTATTCAAAGGGATCAGTAACAAAGATCACGGTAAAGTATCCTGTGCTGTCTCAAGTCATCCCTTGTTTTCGTGGAGGACATTTTAAAAATGCATATGGCAGCAGGAAGTCATTGCTCTTCTCAGTAGAAAGGAAAAATAAACGAAGAGGCATTTCTGGCATAGTGTATGTGTTGGCATTTGGTGCTATCTGTCTAGCCAAGTTGTTGTCTGACTAATCTTGTCATGTGCTTTAGGCATATAAAATTATATGTATTTCTTCTTGCCAAAAACAAAAGCCTTCCTTATCAAATGATTACTAAAGTAGATCTCACTCCTTTAGTTATGTGTGTGCGCACACGCGCCCACACTTCATAGTTTATGTTCTTGCCCAGGGAGCAGTTTTAAGGCTATGAGATACAACTAGAAAGGGCCCATCTCTTTGGTTTTCCAAGCATTTCTTGTACTCAAGCTCCAGGGAAGAATCTGAATTTCTGTTATGTTTACAGCAACAATCTGTCCTTCCCCAGCTGGCTCTCAGCCTTTCTCTGCCTTCCACGTGGTCAGAATCATGTCCTTTTATTACGTAGCGGCCAAATCTACTTCTATGAAAGACCCGTTGCATTTTCATGGACTCTCAGGTATCACTACAGAAAAGCCAGAGCAGGGCCGGCAGACGTCCCCACGCCCCACATGCAGCTGGACCATTCGCTGCCAGCCGTGGCCGTGATCACACACTGTGGCCTCGCAGCCAAGCAGGGCCTCGGGGAGCCACCATCCACCTTCTGGACAGAGGGGCCCTCTCGGAGGCGGTCAGACTTTGCCCAAATCCACGGGGCACAGCAGGGAAATAATTGGGCACTTCGCACCCCCAGCTGTCCCAGCCCAGCCCGACTTAGATAAGCCTCAAGACATTTCCTTGAGCCCATCTTAACACTTCTTTCTTTGTTATGACTTTAATTTTGGTCAAGTTCGCCGCAGAGTCCTGCTAGATCTGGGGGCCGTGCTTCAGCCAGAGCTCCAGTGGCCGGGCACTTGTCTTCCTTCCCAGGGACAGCCATTACACACGAGAAACCATTTCATTTCCGGGGGGGACTCGATGACAACAAACCAACCCTGAAATTTCATGAAAACAAAATGATCTGCCTTTTTATTTGATAGTGTAATATCATTTATTTTATAAAATTTTTAGGGTTTTTTTCTCATTGTAATATTGTACAGTTTTGCATGGCCTAGGTGTAATCATTTTTTGTTTTGTTTTGTTTAGAATATAATGCTGACAAATATGTGTGTATGGAAGGGGAAAAGATGTTGCTTTGGCCTCTCATCACTCCTTATTTCTTTTTGTTTGGTTTTATGCCCTCGATGTCTTAGGGAACTTTATAAGAGATTCTCTGCTACCACACAATGGCGTGGATTCTTTTGCACAGAAATATTTAAGGTGGGATAGTCAAAATGTAACAAAAGACTCCTCGCCAAAATTTTATGTTGGTATCACTTAATATTAACCAGACTTTGATGTATTGCAATAAAACAGGGAACTGTTAGAATTGAGTATTTTGTCTTTTTTCCCCCTGATTAAAAAGTCTAAACAATGGAGAAAAGGTGGCTGCTGCCTTTGGTCTTCTAGGATCCTGCTTCCTGCCCATCCCCCTCCTCGTCCAGGCTTCCTCCTCACACTGCAGAAGGATGTGGGGTAGGTGTAATCCAGGACTTTCTTAGTTCCTTGCACAGCTCAGGTAAGAATCGGCTCAGTTCTCGAGAAGCTTTCCACTCCCCTCTTCTGGTCAGAACTTCTGAGTAGCCCTGTCGGTCCGCGTGCCAGATTGCATCCACACTTGGACATTACTGGGAATGCCGCAGTGAGGGATTAGGGATGCGCGTGTCTTTTCGAATACGTGTGTTTTCTTCTGATAGATACCAGAAGTACAATTGTAGGTCGTATGGCAGCTCTTTTTTGAGCAGTCTCCATGGCGTTTTCCGTACTGGCTGCACTGATGTTCAGTGCTTCCAACAGTGCACAGGGTTCCCTTTTCCCCACGTCCCCGCCAGTGCTGTTGATTTACTGACGGTCATTCCGACACGTGTGCGGTGATATCTCACTGTGAGAATTTACATTTCCCTGATTAGTGCTGTTGAGCAACTTTTCATTTGTTGGCCATCTGTATGTCCTCTTGGGAGAAATGTCTGCAGGTGCTCCGCCCATTTGTTCATTGGATTGTTTGGGGGTTTTTTGGTATTAAGTCGGATGAGTTCCTTATACATTTTGTACATTAATTCCTTATTGGGCGCGTCATTTGCGAATGTCTTCTCCCATTCAGGAGGTTGTCTTTTTGTTTTATTGTTCTCCGTTGATGTGCGAAGCCGTTTCAGTTCGATGTAGAAAAGATATCGCTAAGAGCGATGTCAGAGTTTACTGCCTGTGTTTTCTCCTAGGAGTTTTATGGTTTTAGGTCTTACATGTAATTCTTTAACCCATTGAGTTTATTTTTGTTTATGGTGTAAGAAATTTGTCTGGTTTTTTCAACATCACTTATTGAAAAGACTGTCTTTACCCCATTGTAGATCTTTGCATCCTTTGTTGTAGATTAATTGGCCATTAATAAGTGAGGGTTATTTCTGGGCTGTCTATTCTATTCCATTTATCTATATATCTGGTTTTTATGCCAGTGCCTTACAGTTTTGATTATTGTAGCTTTATAGTATAGGTTGATCACAGGGTGGTGCCTCCCACTCTGTTCTTTCTCAAAAAAACTTTTTTGTGGTTCCATATACATTTTAGAAATAGGTCTCAGAATGCTATTGGTATTTTAATAGGAATTGCATTGAATCTGTAGATTGCTTTAGGTAGTAAGGACATTTTAACAATATTAATCCTTCCAATCAATGAACAAGGTATATCCTTCCATTTATTTGTATCTTCTTCAATTTCTTCAATGTCTTAGAGTTTTCAGAGTATAGGTTTTTCAACTCTTTGGTTAAATTTTTTCTAGGTATTTTATGCTTTTTAATGCAGTTATAAATGGCATTGTTTTCCTAAGTTTTCCTTCTGATTGTTCATTATTAGTGTATAGAAATGCAAGATTTCTGTATATTGATTCTGTATCCTGCAACTTTACTTATTCTAATAGTTTTTTGGCAGCGTCTTTAGGATTGTCTATATATAGTGTCATGTCATCTGCAAATGAGAGTTTTACTTCTTCCTCTCCGATCCGGATGCCTTTTGTTTCATTTTCTTACCTAACTGCTGTGGCGAGGACTTGTAGTGCTGTGTTGACTAGAAGTGGTGATCATGGGCATCCTTGTCTTGTTTCTGGTGTTAGAGGAATGGCTTTCAGCTTTTCACTATTATGATATTAGCTGTGGGTTTGTTATATATAACCTTTATGTTGAGACATGTTCTTTCTATACCCACCTTTGAGTTTTTATAATAAAAAAATGAATTTTGTCAAATGCCTATTGAGATGATCACATGGTTGTTATCCTTTATTTAGTTAATAATGATGTATCATACTGATGGTTTAGTTGTTGAGCCAGCCCTGCATCCCGGGGATGACTCTCACTTGGTCATGGTGTATAATCCTTTTAATATATTGTTGAATCCAGTTTGCTAGTACTTTGTTGAGAATTTTTGCATCTGTGTTCAAGAATATTGGCCCGTAATTTTCTTTTTTTTGTAATGTGTGTGTCTGGCTTTGGTATCAGGGTAATGCTGGCTTCATATAATAAGTTTGGAAGCATTCCTCCTTCAATTTTTAAAAAATAGGATAGATATTAACTTTTCTTTGACTGTTTGGTAGAATTCACCTGTGAAACCCTCTAGTCCTGGATTTTTATTTATCAGGAGTTGATTACTGCTTCAATTTCTTTACTAGTAATCTGTTTGTTTAGATTTTGTATTTTTTCCTGGCTCAGTGTTGGAAGGTCATATATATACATCTAGGAATTAATCTGTTCTAGATTGTCCAATTTGTTGGCATATAATTGTTTATAGTATTTTTTAGTGATTCTCTGTATGCCTGTGGTGTTGGCTGTAACTCTTCTTTCATTTATGATTTTATTTGGGCTCTAGGTTTTTTTCTGAGTTTGGCTAAAAGTTTGTCAATTTGATTTACCTTTTCAAAGAACCAGCTCTTGGTTTTATTGATCTTTTCTAGTTTTTAAAATTTCTATTCTATTTCTGTTCTGATCTTACCTATTTCCTTCATTTACCTTGGGTTTTGTTCTCTTTCTGCTTCGTGTGTGTGTGGATTGTTCATTTGGGATTTTTCTTGTTTCTCAAGGTAGGCCTGTATAGCTATGAACTGCCCTCTTAAAATTGCTTTTGCTGCATCCTGTAAATTTTGAAAAGTTGTGTTTTGTTTGTTTCAAGATAGTTTTCGATTTCCTCTTCGATCCATTGGTTGTTAGTAGCATGTTTAGATCCATGTATTTGGGGTTTTTTCCAGGTTTTTTTACTGTAGTTGGTTTCTAGTTTCATGCCGTTGTGGTTGGAAAAGATGATTTCAATCTTCTTGAATCTGCTGCGGCTTGTTCTGTAGCCTGATATGTGAGCTCTTGAGTGTTTGGTTGAAACATTCTGACAAGGGTGCAGCAGGGGGTACTGGGACGAGGGGCCACAGCTGTCGTGCAGACCGTCCTGTCCCAGAGTGTGTATTACTCATCAGTCCCAAATTGCAGAAAGTAGATTTTTCCTTTAAGAACCATTCAGACCTAGATGAGAACCTATTTTGGACCTGTGCCATCTCTCCAAGTTATTGCCCGTTACTAGAATTCAGTCTGCCCAGGAAAAACCACTTTTCAGGACGATGGATGTGGGATGAGCCTCACCCTGGGAACAGGTACAAACCCTGCAGGACCATCTGGAGACGGGATGGAGTGTGACACTGACCTCGGGCTTCTCGCCATCAACTCAGAACCCTTTACGAGTGAAAGAATTAATGCCACAATGTGAGGATTTTTTACTTTATTGAAACAAGTAACTCAGACAATTATAAGAACTGTACAAAAATTAACAGCCTGTGATGACCCCTTTAGGTCCAACCAGTGACATCTGCACATTCATCTCCCTCCACAAAGGCGCCTGGGCCTGGAGGGCATGGGAGCTTCCCGCTCACTCACCGCCTCCTAGCAGAGCAGAGATCTGTGTCACCTTCTCTCCCCCTCTGCTGCTCCTTCCCATGGGAGGCAGCAGTTCTCTGGAAAATTCCAGTTGTCAAGAAGTATAGGAACCAGCCAGAAAACAGGCCTGGGCCTCAGCTGGTTAAGTAGTGCTCGTTGGCCCTGCCCGGATTAGCACTGCTCCCAGCTCCAGACTAAAGGCTGGAGAGGAAAAGGGCAGAAAACCACCTCTCACTCTAGAAACACGTACACACACAAGCCTCGTACTAGACAGTCAATAAAATCCAAAAAGACTTCCCTGTGTATTTTGTAGCAAGGATGCGAAGGGCCTACTCTCTCATCTTCCGGTTAACATTCCCATTAGGGAAAAACCCTGTTACCAAAAGGAAAAGGAAATAAAATTGCCTTTTTACCTTTAGAGTGTTTCAGAAGATGAACAACAGTAGATTTTGATAGGGTATTTGGGGTTTCATTTCACACCCACTCAGCAATAAAAACCGTGTATAAGTGCTGGCGCCAGGGCTCCAGCAGCACCCCTCCCACCGGAGCCGGCCCCCCCTCCTTCAGCAGAGGACGTGGCATGGAGCTCGCCAGCTTCCTACTCGTGTCGGCCGCACCGGGGCGGAGAGTCCGCACGGCGGCGGCTACTGCTTGGCCTGCCTCTGGCAGTAGTTGCTGTAGGCCTCCTCGAACATGGCCTTACAGGGGAACTGGGCCTTCAGCTTGGAGCAAATGAGGAAGGAGCCCCCCATCTTCCTGTGCAGCGAGTAGGTCTCCTCGGGGGGCGGGATGAGACGGTGCTTCAGCATGATGGGGATCAGGTTGTGGATCTTCTCCGTGGTGCTCTGGGTGCCAAAGTCAAAGGGCTCCTCGGAGGCGAAGGCCTCGCCCAGGATGAGGATGGCGTCCAGGTGGGCGTCCTCCATGGCCTGCAGAGGGAGAGGCTCAGGCGCGCGCTTCACTTTTAATGACACTGAATAACGGTAACTGGAGCAAGAACTCAAATGTACAGGAACTAGGACAACAGGGCGTGTGGACTAGGCTCCGAGTGACGGGGAAGGGAGCGGCGGGGCCTGCAGCAGAAGGCCCGCGTGAGCCCCACACTCAGTCTGGACAAACCAGCTTCCGGCCAAAAAGAACCGAGCCAGGTGAGGAGCTGCAGACGACCCGCCCCCCGCAGAGAGAACTGCTCCTGGCTTCTGGGCGACAGGAGCACAGACGCTGCCCCTCAGAGGTGCCCAGGACTCCCCCAGCGCCCTCCTGCCCTTCCCAGCGAGGGCTGCGGCTCTGCCATCCCGTTCGCCCTCACCAGAGCCCTGACTCCGTGACTGACCGGTACCCCAACTGGACTGCCCCCAATGCCTGCCCCTCTGAGAACCTCGAGCCCGGGGCTGGGGCAGGTGGTCGGGGGCTCTGTGGAGACCCCTCGGGATGCCTGTCCCCTCCGCCTCCATCATCCCTTCTTTAGTTCAGTCTCCACTTAAGATGTCAAAGGAAAAGGAGTCCACTGACCCCTCCCTCACACAGGGCCCCGCCCCGGGAGCTCACCTTGACCTCGTAGCCCGTGAGGAACTTCATCTCTATGGATTTCTTCAGTACGGCCTCCCTGTCCCTGTCGGCAGCGGCCCTGATGATCTAGGGGGGCACCGTGGGCAGAGACGAGCTCCTGAGGGTCGGGGACTGCCGCCCACCGCCTCCCCGACTGCTGTCCTTTCTCTCAAGTTCCCGGGCCTGGAGGCCCCAGCCGGTGCTGGGAGCCTGACAAGGCCGTGAGCAAGGCCAGGGACAGGAGCCTGGTCAGCCTTCCTCCCTCCAAGTCCCCAGGCGCCTCAGGAAGGTCTGGGCCGAGGCCCTGCCCCTACCTGGATGTAGAGGTCAGTGAAGGACCTGTCAAATTCCCGAGTTGCCCCAAAGTCCAGAAGAGCCACCTGAGAAGGGCGACACAGGGGAAGCTGGCAACTGGGACTGAGACCCCCCATGTCAGAGCCCCTGCGCCAGGGGAAAGCCCAGGTCCCTGCGGCGCCCCCTCGGGCTCACCTTGTGCTGCTGAGGGTCATAGAAGAAGTTAGACCAGTTGGGGTCTGTCTGCATGAACTGGAACTCGAACAGCTCCCGCAGGCACAGGACCAGGATGTTGTAGCAGATCTGGGGCGAGGCGGGGCTGGTCACCGTGGGGCCCGGCTGCCTGGTGACCCGAGTTGGGCCGGGACAGCCGGACTCCGTTTCCCTCTCCAACTCCCACCCGCCCGCCCGCCTTCTGCCCAGAAGATGACTTTCAATTCCAAGAGCAGACCCCGGGGGCCGGGGCGACACAGCAGCCCCCTTGTCCCCTTCATCCCCACAGGGAGCACCTGGGGGCTCCGAGGCCAGATGCAGACGCACCTCGTTCCGGATCTCCTGGCTCAGGTCCTCAGCCTGGTCCAGGGGGAAGCCGGACACCAGCTCTGTGGTCAGCACGAGGGGGCTGCAGAGCTCGTCCACAATCTCGGGCACGTAGAAGAAGGGGTGGTCCTTCAGCAGCTCCCTGGCAGGGGTGGGATGTCACACCCTGGGCCCAGATCCTCCCTGCCTGCCCCCCCCACCCCCTCAGGGATGACGCCTGGCGACGAGGGACTGAGCCAAGTGCAGTGCCCTGCTTCATGTCGGCCAGGACACGGCTAAGGCCCCAGGCCCCGACCACAGCCACCTGCCCCCGCAGAATGAGAGAAGCCCTCACCCCTCCCCCATGGGCTGCCCACTGGTGGCCCTTCTGTCTCCCGCTGGAGGGAGCAACAAGCGAGGGGCCCAAGGCCCAGCTGCCCAGACTGGAGCCACACCGGAACTTCCTGGCACAGGCGGCCTCTCGCTGGTAGTCACACTCAAGGGCCAGCTCCCGCCTCAGCACGTCAATCAGGTGCTCGGGAAACAGGCCTGGGTGGAGAGGAGGTGTCACACTGGGGCTGCCCAGGGAGGCCCCTTGGGTGCCCAGAGTCTGTCCCAAATGTCTGCCCATGACCACCAGCCAGCTTCAGACCTTCCGGAAGCATGTTGCTCATGTTCAGCACAGCCATGAGGTTGTTGACATCACTGTTGATGCTCTGGGCCACACCAGGGTACTGCAGGGGGACAGACGGGGTGTCCCAGGGGCACAGAGGAAGGCCCTGGCATGGAGCCCCCCTCTCCCACCACCGGCAGCTCCCCAGCCATGTCCCACCCACCCCCACACCTTGGGCAAGTCGCAGCTAAGACCCAGTGATGCTGCCGTGACCCCAGGCCCATCCCAATCCGGTTCTCCACTGTCTCCCACCCCAGCCCCAGAAACACTGCCCACTCAGGGGCCTGTCCCTCCAGCTCAGTCCCAAAGCAGATAATCGCTGTCCCCTGTCCCCACCCCACCCAAACCGAGCTTGCTGCAAGGCCGCCTCACCTCCCACAGCCACTCACGTGGCACATACTTCTCAGTCCCCCATGCTGCCCAGGCGCTGGGGCCAGAAATGACATGGGCCCTGGTTCTGCCCTCCACAGCCCCCATCGGGACAAGCACACACACCAGGCACCCACCTGGATCTTCATGGCCACCTCACGGCCACCCTTCATGCGGGCCAGGTGCACCTGCCCGATGGAGGCAGCTGCAAAGGGCCGCTCCTCAAAGTACTCCAGCTTGTCCCGCCAGTTGGGGCCCAGGTCATTGTTGAGAGTTTTCTAGAGGGAGAGGCCAGGGAGGGGCTGTGAGCACAGCGCAGCCACCTGGGACGCCCCAGGAAGCGCCTCCCACGGGGCCCCGCAGCTCCGTGTGAAGAGGGGAGGCCGGGGGGACCCAGGGGCCCGGGCGCTGCTTTCCTCACCATCATCTGTTTCAGCGGCATGAAGTCCGCGCTCTGCCGCACCCGCTCGAAGATCTTGGCCAGATGGGGATTGATGAAAGCATCGTCTGGAAGGCACCGGAGAAGTCAGGGGGCAGAGGGCTGACCCCCGACAAGGAGCACAGGCCGGAAACAGCAGTCTCCCGGGAGAGCGGCCCCCCTGAGATGCTGCTCCACCCTCCCACACACCTGAACCCCTTCTCAGAGACCAGGCGCAGGCCCAACGCCACACGGCAGGACCGGCCTGAGTCCTCCTGGCACGCTGACAGCCTTTTCAACTGGCACCCGGTGGACAAAAGTTCCAGAGGGGACACGGGACACTGACCTGAGTGTGCACACTCCTGGGGCACCGTGGCCAGCAAACCACATCCAGAGACCCCCGCGCAGCCCAGCACGGCACACCCAGCGGGGCGACCTGCATAGCCCGGGGCCCTGACCTTCGACCTTCGGCAGCGGGGGCAGCGTGTGCCCTGGCTCTGAACTCAGCCACCGACCTGAGAAGGTGGCTTCTTCCACACAACAGGCGGAGTGTTTCGCAATTATATGAGGGCAATTTTAGGAAACAAAGTGTAATAAAATGTAGAAAACACCCATAATCTGATCTCCTACAGAGAACCACAGACTGTTCTAGGCTGCCTTCCGCACGCGGCCGCCCCTCGCAAGCCCTCTTCCCTGCTGTTTATTTTTCTGAAATGTTCTGAAATGGCACTGTTGGCGGGGACCTAGCATCGCCCCGAAGTCTGTCGTGCAGCCCGACGGCCACTTGCTTCGGCCACTGTTCGGTCAAGCCCCAAATAACACCACTGCACTCAGGGACCCCACGCTCGGTCCCATATTATCATGAAGCTGAAAAATCCCTATCGCCTAGTGATGTCACAGCTACCACGGCGTCATAGCTCAAGGCGTTCGTGCGTGCGGGGACTGGCGTAAACGAACCTGGGCCACCCGTCGCATAAGTGTCACACACACAGTTATGCACAGCACATAACACCTGATGATAAACAACTGTTACTGGTTTATGGATCATACTTTCTATCATTTTACAGTGTACTCTACTTATTAAAAAATAGTTTGCCGTAAAGGGACAGCCGTGTTACACGGGTGGCCTCGTGAGGTGTCCCACGTCTACTGCGTCTCTTGATGCATCATTTTCGCTTGCGCTTGATTTAACCTCCTGTTTCTCACGGACGCGCTGTACGGGCCGGGAGCCTCGGTCCGGAGGCTCCGCCAGAGCCGGTGTGCGGGGCGCTGTGCCAACGGGCACCGGCGATGTTCGCACGATGAAACTGCCCAACGACACATTTCTCAGAACATATCCCTGTCACTGGGCGGCACACATGGCCAATCTGCGATAGAGGCCCTGACCGCACCCGTGAGGCTCTCGTGGAGCCGGGGCTTGTGCAGCGGATGACAGATGGTGACCGCTCCAGACCCGCAGCCACAGGCAGCGCCCATGCCCAGCCCGCCCGCCCCGTGACCTCCAGCCTTACGCTTGGCCGATTCAGCGAGGCCATCTGACGGCTCGTGAGGGAATCGCTTTCAAATGTCCACTCGGACTGCCAGCCTCTCGGGCACCCCTCCCGGGGGCACCAGGGAAGCCCCTAACCTCAGCTTTGCTGTTGGGGCCACAGTGAGGTGGCCTTCTGCTCAGCTGCTGTCCCCAGCCTTCCCTCCTTTGGGCCACATGCCCCTTGTCCCCAACATCATGGTGTGGCAGGCAGGCGTGTGAGTCCCCCAACCAGTGCTCTCCAGCCAATGTGGGAGGGGGGGCTTGGTGGCCAGACTCTTGCCAACTTTTGGGATGCCAACACCACCTCTAGATATCTCAAAACAGCCAGGAAGAAGCAAGAACCATGGCTGTGGGCTCCTGTTTAAGAGTTTTTTAAATATCCCGGGCTAGTCGCCAGCCAGGGTCCAGGCATGAGCGGCAGTGGGCAGAAGGCGCACCCCCCGGCCACCCCCGGAGCCCGTGCGCCAGGTGGGCCCACTCACCCTGGATGCTCAGCATCTGGCCCAGCTTGAGCGCCGCGCCCCGCACCTTGCACAGCGTGCTCACGATGCGCTCCACGTTGGCCTCCGACAGGAAGGGGCTGGAGTCCAGCACGGCCTTCTTTCCTGTGGGCAGGAGCCAGGTCACCATGGCACCCCCGCCCCTCTCAGGGTGGCCGGTGGCCTCACTCAACCCAACAGGGCCACAGGGCAGGAGGAGGAAGAGGCCGGGCAGGGCTCACAACTGGCCCCAGAGAGGTGGCAGTCAGGTGGGCACCAGGGACAGACGCAGCTCCTCTCCCCAGCAGTGCTGAGGCTCGGGGAGCTTGGTGTAACCCAGCCTGCTGTCCACTAGCTGTGTGCCTCGGGCAGACCATGCGCCTCTGGTCCTCTTTGGTAAACACAGGACAATAACGGGACATCTGGGTGTGGGGGATTTTTAAGTGATTCCAAAATGCCCAGCACACAGCCTGACAGGAGGTTCACGCTCCTTTTCCTGGTGCCCATAAAACCAGCGTCACGCTGCAGCAGGCCTGTGAGCCCCCAGCAGCGCCCTCCGACCAACATAGGGGGCAGTGGCAATTTTAGCCCTGTGTTCCACAGCTGTAGAAATGCCCTCTAAGGCCACCCAGGTCTCTCCAGGCCTGACCCCAGCACCCTCCCCACCTTACACACACACACACATGCACATACGCACACACACGCACACGCACGCAGGGCCACTTCCTCCATAACAGTCCCCGGGGCCTGGAGGGGACACACCAAAGGGCGCAGTCACCTGGAAGTAGGGGGCAGGCACTGGGAGGGAAGGGCCTGGAGGGACCCAATCGCAGGTGAGAAGGGCTGCCAAGTCACTGTCCCTTGTGCCCTTCCCAGTGTACTGGGCAAAGGTCGCCAGCGCCCCTAGAGTCACTGCGCGCTCACCACAGGGCCAGCTGGCTGCAGGGAGAGCCAGCTCCTCAGGGAGGGGAGCGAGGGCGAGGGCGGCGCCCGCCCACTGCTGCCTGCCTCTCCCCTCTCCCCTCTCGCAGAAGCCCTGCGGCCGCGGCAGGGGGAGAGTTCGTGGGGACCTCAGGGGTGCAGATGGCCTTTGTCCCGTACACTTGGGGTGGTAGAGGGCAGGGGGATGACTCAACAGGGCGGCAGGGGGGCCAACTGAGTCCAGCTGCCACCCAGCGGTGCAGCCCCGGGCTCAGGGCCCCGTCCCGACCCCAGTGGCCCTGCCCAAATACTGAGTTGCCCCTGTCCTGGGTGGGAATAGCTCTGCTCGGCTCTCCCTCCGCCCTCCCCGAGCTCCTCCAGCGCCCTCTTAACTGTCCTCCAGCCTGCGACACGGGTGCTTTTCCCACCCACCGTCCTGCGAGCCCACTTAGGTCAGAACCCCCGAGGGCTGTCCCACGGTGCCGGGCACTGTCCTCGGCCCTCATCACCACAGGCCTGGCCCAGACTCAGAAGGACTGAGCCAGGTCCTCAAGGCAGGAACGAGAGGCGGCCCGTGGGCCACAGCGCCCCAGAGGCCGCTCAGGAAGCTGGAGCAGAGCCTGGGGGCTGCCCAGGGCCATCCCGCCCTGGCCTGAACCCCAGGTCCTGTGGTTCCTGGGCCCCTTGATTCTCAGCTGGAGTCACTGCCACTTCACTGACAAAGGACACCAGCCGTAGCCCTGCAGCTAGTCTAACTCTTTCCTGCTCGGACATGGTAGGACGGAAAGTAGCCAGCTTCGGAGGGGACGGGAGGGGGCTGCGCCGAGGAAGCCAGGCTTCAATCCTCGAGGCGTCCGCGCCAACACTAAAAATACCCTCGCTAAATCCTGTCTTGTCCCCTGGCCCCTTCCAAGGACACAAATGGCACCCCATGACCCCTGTACTCAGGGGCCTGTGGGGACAGGCTAGTGCCTTCTCTCTGGGGCCCCCCTTGTCCCAAGAGGGTCTTGTGGGTGAAGAAAGGCCATCTATGTAACTGGCAGGGCCTCCAGAAGAGCCCATCCCTAAGCTGACAGCCAGGACTATAGGGGCAAGACAGTGGGGTGTCACTGAGGGGTCCCCATGAAACAGGGAGATGTCATACTAAAATGAGCAACATCCCCTGGGGGGCCCGAGTGTTCTGACCTGATCTCTGGCTGACTCTGGGAGACAGGGGACAGCGGCATCACGTTCTTTGCCTCAGAGACAGAGGGCCCTGTGGGGTCTGTCCCAGCGGCACCCACATCCTTCAGCCACATCAGGAGCCCTGGGCACCTAACCTGGCGAGACCAACAGGCCCAGCAGCTCCAGAGAGTGGGGTCAGAGGTGGGGCCGAGAACAAGGCTCCAGGGGCGTCAGGCGGGAGAAGCCAGGAAGGGCGAGGGGAGCCAGGACGGGCTGAGCAGCCTCGGACCTCAGCCAACCCCAGGGGTGCCACTTACATGGAACACAGGTGATCACGACCCTGAAGGGGGAACATGAGGTCCCTGGAGGCCTCAGGACCAGGTGGAGGCTGGGGGCTGGCAGGCCCACCTCCCAGAGTCACCCTGCCCTCCAGTCAAAGGCCCAGCTCACCTGTGCGCTCCTCAGAGCGGAGGCTCTTCTTGGCTACCTCAGCCAGGGCCCCGAAGCCCAGGCCCACGGCCAGACCTGCAATGACAGAGGGTGGCAGTCACTGGCCTTCGTGTGGGGTTGGGGCTGCTGCCCAGCACCCCCCACCCAGGAGCCCTGGAGCCGCCCCACAGACACCAGCCTCAGCTCCCTAGGGACCCTCGCTGACACTCCCAACATTCGAAAAGGGAAGGGAAAAGGTAGGAGACACATCTGCTATTTTCAGAGAAGATGGGGCTCAAGGTAGGTGCTGTGTGTGAAAAAGCTTCATCTGCCCATCACCTCTGCTAATCTCTAGGCTCACAGACACACGAAAGCACCCCGAGACAATGTACAACTGGGAAACGCACCAGGAGGACCCGGCACGCATGGAGGATGGACCAGGAACGGGGCCACCCACGGCACCGCCTGAGAGGAGCCTCCAATTCTCCAGCATCTCTCACTCAGTTCACTGCGACTGGAAGGAAAGGCCTCGCTACAGGGATATAACGCGGTCACTGGCGCAAGTTGGAATATTTCTGCAAAAGCCTGTCCCCAGCCCAAGCCATGGGGACACACAGGAGCTCAGGCTGCAGCCCTCAGGCCCTGACAGTGTCTAAGGACAGGGGTAGAGTACCAGTCCCCTTCGTAACCTCTAAACCAAAATTCGTTAACACCTCACTTACCCCAGACGCCTGAGGACCCCAACAGTTGTCACAAAGGCCAAACGGAAAGGCCAGCAGCCTGGCGCTTGGAGCCTATGTGCTCTGCTTTAAACACAGTTGTAGCTGGATGGGGAGTGGGGGCGGGGGGCACACATTAGCAGAGGGAGAGGGAAGAACAGATGGCTGACCACAGCAGAAGGGACAGCAAAGATCCAGCGATGACACCAAAGACACACTAAGGCCAGTGGCCTCGGAGAACACAGCCCTGAGGGGCCAACAGAACAGCAGCCCCCACTCCCCTGGGGGGGGCTCATGCCAGCTGCTCCGATTAACAGACAAGGAAACCTGCACGTCCCCGTCCTAAACTTTCTGTAATGAGTATGTGTTGCTTGTATGAAAAACAAAAGCTCCTGCCTCATAGGTCATGGTGAGAATTAAACGAGCAAAGGGCTCTCAACGGGGCCGGGCACAGGTACTGCTGTAAACGTGTTCGCTGTTATCATCATTCTTCTCATTAAAAATGGTTTGACCAGTGCTGTGCGAAAGAAGCACAATGCGAATCACTGACAATATTTTTAATTTTCTAGTAGCTACATTAAAAAGAAGCAAAAAGAAGCATGTGAAATGAATTCTGAGCATATGTTTTATTTAACCCGGTATATCCAAAATATTATCATTTCAACAAGTACTCAAGTAAAAATTATTAGAGATATTTTACTTTTTTGTTTGTTTGTTTTTGGTCTTAGGTCTTCAAAATCCTGTGTGTATTTTACTCTCAGAGCATGTCTCAGTTTGGACCAGCCACATTTCAAGTGCTCAACATCCCATGTGGCTGGTGGCTGCTGCAGGGGACAGCACAGGGCACAATAGGCCAAGATCTGGCAACCACAGGAAGAAGCCACGGTCATCTGGAAATGGCCCTCGGTGTAACCCCAGCGCCCACCACAACATCCTGGCGTATTGGGAGGCAGTGCCAGGGCCGGTGACCACCTCCCATCCAGCTCCAGTGGTTACCGGACATAGAGCTGGGAGCCAGGTCTCCAACCAAACATTAACTCCCCTGTGGCCTGCCCACCTCCGCCTCACCCAGCACACTATCCAACTCAGCAAAATAGATGACAACAGGCAATAACCTTCCAACTGCAGTGACTTTCGGCAACATCTTTATATCTAGATTTTTCTGTGCCTAGATCGAGTCCGAAGACAAACCTACAAGAGGCAGATGGTGTCAGGTTATTCCGCCTGCCTATGGTCAGCAGACATCACAGCTGTTGGGAGAACCTCCTTCCTCAGGCAGAGGAGCCCCCAGCTTCCCCTGCTGGGCTCCCCTCAGATACTCTGTCAAACTGTTCTCTGGCCATCTCTAGGCTGCAGGTCACAGCCACAGCTCTCCAAGGCCAAGGATCTGTCATTAAATAAATCACCAAAAGAACATTCTACAAAGGACGCTTTAGGCTCCTCCTTGGCCCTACGAGCTCCCTCAGGAGCAGCCCAGGGCCAGGCCAGAGGTGCTGCCAGCAGCGAGTGACCTTGGCCTCAGGAGCTCCTACTCCAGTGAACAGAGAATAGGCTGGCTCTCCCTCCAGCCCCGCCACGCCCCCCAACCCAACCCGGCCAACCTTAAAGCAATTCCCAGAACCTTGCTGGGGGGAAGGCACAACCCAGAGACTCTTCCTTCTCCCAGAACCAGTGGCCCCTGGAGGCAACTCCTGGAAGATCAGGCTTCTGCCCGGGATTCCCCAGGTCCTCGCTCTCTCTGTACATGTCCCCGTGGCCCGTCGGCCCCACAGCACCGTGTGCCTCTCCATGTTCTGATCCACACTCAGGCCCAACCTGGCCCGCACAGCCTACTGGGAGTCCGGGACCACAACCAGCCACGGAACCTGCTCAGTGGCCCCACAGCCTGGTCTCCATCCTAGCCTGTGAGAAGGTGCCAGCCCCTTCCTGTTCCCGACATTTCTCTCCCAGAGGTTTTGCAGTCAGGAAATGCTGGGGCGGGGGGCAGCTCTTCCCCGCAGGAGCGCACTGGGGCCCCTGCCTCCCAGAAGTCCCTCTGGAGGTCATCAGGGCCAAACGTGGCCCTAGCCACTAGACCGCTGCCCAGACAGGCACCAGAGGTTAAGGAAAAGTAAAAAGAAAACACCTTTAACAACGGCACCGTTCGCAAGGTGTAAGGCAGCTTGGGGAGAGGGGCCTCCGAGCAGGAAGGAGGAAGGAAATGCTCAGCAGACGCTGGGCACTGGCTCAAGGGCGTGTCTGGGCGACTGCAGGGGCCAGAGGCAGCCGCCATGGCACTCGCACAGCACACGCTGAGTGCCAGGCATCTACACCCTCGCTGTGTTCACGCATCCAGCAAGCCTGACCTGACATGACCATCCACATGGAAAAGGCAGTGTCCTCTGCTGACAGCCATTCTTGATTCCTTAGGGAGTTAGCCCACCTTCTCTGCTGTCACCCGCATCTTCCACGCCGCCCCGGCCCAGAGAGAGGACGAGAGAGGCCTACGGAGGGGCCTGCAGCCCACAGCACAGGAGGAAGAGGACCAGGAAGGGGTGATGGAGGAAGCTCCCTGTAGCGTGCGCTCGCAGGTTCTCAGAAGCTGGCCCGGAGCTGGACTGGGGGTAGGGGAAGACCTAACACAGCTCCTCTGCTGGCTGTGGGGGACACGGGACTAATTATGGGGGGCAGCTGTGATAGAGGCTTTCTAGGCTCTGGTCCCAGGCTGTCACAAATAAGCACCTGGCCCTGGGTGACTGGCGACTGTGGCTCGGCTTCCCCACCTGTAACTGGAGGTGACAACTGCGCTGATGTCCTTCTAAGAGGAGGGAGCCTGGCTTTAGAAAAGTCAACAAAGGGGCATTGTGCCAGGAGGTCAGAACACTCAGTGCTGCCACAGGAGGTGTAAACACTTCCACCCCAGCCGTCCTGACGACCTTGCCCCAGCCAAGGAACCCAAAGGCATCGCCAATGCGCGACGACCCACGGCAGGGTCTCGATCGGTGTCTGGACACAAAGGCAGTGGGGTGAGTCTATCAAAAAACTCAGTTACTATCACCCTGCTTCTTGGGAGCATGTCCTTGGTATATGCATCGCTATAATACCCTTTAAAAAAGATCAATAAAATGATGGTAATCGTTGATAGTAGTTTTTGTTTTGTTTTAAATGTTCATACTTGGAAAAATTTAAAAACAACCAAAACTATGCCAATTTACTTAATGTTTCTTTTTCATGTTGCCACTGAGATGGGGGGGACATACCCAGGTGTATCAGAATCTTTAAGGAATTAAGCAACAATAGCCGTCAGCTTTGCATTTCAATCTAAGCAACGTCCACCTGCTAACATAAGCGAGAATACTCTCATGTTACCTTATCTCCTAAGAAACCCAGTGGAGTCTCAGAAACAATTTTTTAAAGCAAAGTGTTTTTCTGCGAGTGATGGTCCCTTAACATTTTACCTTTAAAAATATATATATATGATAGAATTCCCAAGGAACCAGTCCCTCTTCATTCCCAACCCACTGCTCTCTCATAATAGCCTCTGTTTTTGTGTATCGTGTTTCAAAATCCTTCCTAAATAGAATCTAAATTGCCTTATCTCTTCCTATTTCTTCGCTTGTTTCCTCTCTGTCTTCCTGTTTCCCTCAGTATTCTCCTCCCTTCTGCCTTAATCGTCTGGCCCGTACGCTCCTGGGTGACGGTCTCAGCAACCGCTGCAGCGCTGTGCTCAAAGCCGTGCTCATCCTCATCCAGTAAGTTCTCTACGGTGCCTGCTTTATCTGTTAAAGTCTCGTTTCTGTCATCACCCACTTCTCTCTCACTGTACAGGTTCAGAGGGGATGAAGACGTCTCCTCGGAAGCACAAACAGCAAAAAAGGTGGAAAATACAGAAAAGAGTAGAGGCAACACCTGGGAAAGAGGGGAAAGATCTAACATATGTGTAATTGGAGTTCCAGAAGGAGAGAGAGAGGAGCAATAGATGAAGAAATGACCAGAATTTTCCAAAACTGATGGAGGAGATCAAATTGCAGATTCAAGAAGCCTTGCAAACTCCAAGCAGGAGAAATGCGAAACAAATCACACCCAGGCACTTCACAGACTCCTAAATACCAAAAGCAACAAGGAAATCTTAAAAGCAGCCAGATGACAAGAACTCACATTACTGGCAACGGAGTATAAAACGGACAGCCAAGTTGTCAACAGAAACAACGGAACGACATGCTTAAAGTGTTCAAAGAAAATCATTTCAAACATGGAATTTAATGCCCAGCCCAAATACCTTCCAAAACGAAAGTGTAATAAAGACATTTTCACACAAATAAAAACAGAAAATTAATGATTAGCAGACTGCATTATAAGAGAGAAGGAAGTTCTTCAGAGAAAAGGAAAATCATCCCAAATATAATTATGAAAATATAGGAAGAAACAAAAAGTGTAAATATGTGGATTAATCTAAATTCATATAGGCTATGTGAAAAAAATAATATGTTGTGGGGTTTAATATATCTTAATTTCATATATAGTATAAAACATGTAGAAACAAAATGCATACATACACATACACACAGAGGGAATACACAGATTTAAAGTGTTCTAAGGTCTTATCATTATTTGGAAAGTAGGAAAAAATAATCATTTTTATTACAATGTAATAAATCGAGAATATGTACTGTAATCTCAAAAATAAGTACCAAAAGTAGAATAACACACAAGCTAATAGAGAGAAAATGTGTATAATAAGAAAAAAAGTCTTTGATTAATTCAGAAGACAAGATGGGAGAAATAAAGGGAACAGATGGATCATATAGTAAACAAAGGCTAAAATAGTAGATATAAACCCCAATAGATTAGCAACTCCATTAATGTAAATAGACTATTTACATTATTGGACTAAGATTACTGGCCTGTACTTAACAAAAAATAATTATATAAGCTGCCTATAAATGACATACCTTAAATATAAAAACACAAAAAGGTTGAAAGCAGAAGGAAGGAAAAAGAGATACCATGCAAACATAAACCCCTAAAAACAGATGACACACAGCTATACTAACACCAGACAGTGTAGAGTTTCACAGAGATAAAGAGAGACATAACATAAAGGAGTCGATCCCTAGGAGGATATAAGAATTCTAAATCTGTAAGCAACCAATAACATAGCTTCAAAATATTAAAGCATAAATGACAGAACTAAAAAAAGGTAGATAAAAAAATAAAATAAAATAAAAAAATAAGGTAGGTAAATCCATAATCATAGTATGACTTTTAAATGTCTTTCTCGATAGCTGATAGAACAAAGAGAACAAAACATTAAAAGATCTGATCCATATTAGTAACAAACTAGACAAATAGATATATTGCTGTACCCAGCATCAGAATTCTTTTCAAGTACACATGGAATATTTACCAAACTACTCCCAATGGAGTCAAGACTCCAATTTTACAGAAGGGAAAACCAAGGGAGGGCCCAAGGTCACAAAGCAGCAGAGCTGGAATTATAACCTAGATATTCTGAAGACCTAAAGCCCAGTCCTGACCCCAAATCCATTATTTGACCCTATCTTTCACATCATTCTTTAACAAAATCTAATGTCCACAGATCACCTGACCATAACATCGCACCTATAACATCCCATAGCCAAGTTGGACTTAGGGCTCCTGTCCCCAACTCAGCATCAAAATGAGCCACCCAGCCTGGAAAGCCTCTGCCTTCCACCTTCACACGGCTGAATACCTGCTGCTGACCTTCCAAACGGCAACCCCATCTCCCTGAGATCTAGAGCAATCCCTTCCTTCATACTCCCCAGGTAAAAATTTCCCAAAGCCTGATGGTCTACTCCTCAAAAACACCTAGCCCCCATGAGCAGAAGAAAGGCTAGCAATGTTCTCTAGGGGAACAAAGCAGAGCAACATTACTTCAAACTGTTTAGACGACTCACCAGCAAGCCATGTATTTCACAATGCAATGAAGAATGTACATAAATAGTATGTTTATACCTCCAAAACAATATTTTTGCAATGTGTGCAGTTCTAAGAGTCTATGATATTAATTCTGACCTTTTCCTATTCAATTTCATTCTATTTAATTTGTTTCTTAGATGCTGGTCCTGACCAATTAAGTTGATTTCACATTCACGGAAGGATCATAAGCCACAGTTTGCAAACCTCTGAGTGAGGAAGAAGGCCTGGAACTCCCCCTTCTGGGGCCAGAACAGCAGGTTCTTTCCAGACCTGGCTCCCCTTGGAGGAGCCACCTCCTGCCACCTCTGAGCCTGAGATGCTAGCTGCTAACGGCCTGGCCGACCGTGTGTAAAGCTCTGAATCACAGCTGTGGGCGGGCCCCCATCATGGACACCTGAGGATGGCCCTGGGCGTTGGGCAGCTGTCAGCAGGGGTTCGAGAGGCTTCTCAGGGTACAGAGCACCTACCAAGCCCACGCTGCCCCGGGCTGCCCGTGTCCCCGCCCCAAGGGGAGCCCCGCCCGCTGGATTCACTGGCTGCCTTCGTGTCCCACACCTTCTGCTCGTGTGCCTCAACCGTTCCGCCAGGACTCGCGCCATTTCGTCAGACTTCAACTGACCACGGTGACCTTGGTTCTGGCCAGTTTTCACAAACAGATCCTCCACTAGCCCCGCCCCTGCTCAGACTCCCACGAGAGGAACACACCTGTTCCGAAATACATCAAGCTGGGGCTTCCGGGGACAGGGCTCTGTGGCGAGCCCTCGTCTGGAGTGAGGGGAAGAGGAGGGTTTTGGAGGAAAACTACAGAGTAAGAAGAGGATGGGTCCTGCCCTCAAACTCAGGGGAGGGAAGAGAACCTCCATTTAATTCTTTAATAAGAAATAATAAATATTACCCAACTAACAGCCACTGTGCAAAGCAGAGATCGTGCAAAGTCTTCCGGGAAGTGAAGGTCACTGGAGGTGACCAGAGCGGTGATTCTCAAACTCATGCTGGTGGTGTCGCACCAGGAACTTACGATGTTCTGTGAGGAGCTGCTTGAAATGCTAACCCATTAAAGTGAAATAAAGCGATAATTCTGTGCTGATATCTAGATGCCATTTTATGCTAGAGTCTTGAACATCTAGGTAGCAGATGCCAAATTTTAAAATCATAATATGGAAGAAAATCATATGGCTGAGAAAATTCCATCCAATTAACCTAGTCTGCTCTGCACATTAGGAAGACAGGCAGCCATCAGTGTTTGAACCCACACATCGGTCCAGCTCCCAGAGTACCAGGATGTCGAGGAGCACAGAGCCAATCTTGAACAAGGTATAGGACGGGGTTTCCAAAAGAGAAGAGGCAGCAGACAACAGCATGTATGATAGATGGTACACGGCAGGGAGACATATAAACCAGCCCAAAAAGCAAAAGGCTGGTGGGAAGATGGACAACAGTGGGCCCCCGAGCACTGGTGTCGCCATGAACCCATCAGACCTGTTATACGCAGCCATGCAAACAACCACTCATCCAAGGCTCAAATGTGAATCTAGCTGTCAAAAGTGTCAGTTTCAGTAAGTGTATTGTCTGGAGAATCTGGAGGCAGCTAAGCTCTAGACAAATGCGCTCCCAGTCACTCTGTCTTAAAGTATACTACTGCAAAAAAGATAGTGCTTTCAATAGGAACATCTTGGTCAGTAAATAAGTGACAGATATGATGACACAATGTCCTCAAGGCAGATACAACTGCTTTAAACCTTCATTACAAAACGATCCTTCAATTCAGATCAAAAGAGCACAGATATGCTAGACACACGACTACTCAAATCCTCAAAGAAAAGAATAAAACTCATGATGTAGCATCTTAAAATGGACTTCAAACTTAGCTCAGGGCTGCAGCACTTCATTACTGATGTCCCACAGGCCTGCGGGAATCCGGCAAATGAGTCACCAAACGGCTGGTCCCAAGGGGAAAAAACACTGTCTAGGAGGCAAACAGGCCCAGTGAAGAGCTTCTACTCGCTACCTAGCCTCCTTGCTGCAGAGGCTCCAATGGGGCTGGGCAGCTGGGTGGCTGAGGTTGGAGGAAAAGCCGGTGCTGCAGACACTGCCCGCTAAGCGTGGCCTGAGAAGCAGAGCTGCAGCTCGCAAAGTGGCGTCACCCACACTGGCCCCCAGGGAGCCGAGCGGAGTGGGATCCAATAACTGCATCATCCACACGTGGGAAATATCCAGGATGGCTACCGCAAGAGCTACCACCGTCCCCAAGACACCCCTGGGTCGCGACCCTCGCCCGTCCCCATGCAGGCCTGTGTGAGGGGCACAAGGCCACCTTACCTCCAAAGTTGGCCAGCCGCCCAATCCTCGTCACTGGCACCTTCCGCTCCCGAGCACGCTCACTGAGCTAGAGAGAGGACAAAGAGACCTCAGGAGTCAGCGAACAGGGACAAGACCGACAATCAGGGGTTCATGCTGCCCCCCACATCCCTCTCCACCCGAAAAGGCAGCAGCTCTGCCTCGCAGCACACTCCACCAAGAAGAGGCCTCCATGTTCCTGAAACCTCTGGAACACTCCCTGGAGAATGTCTGCAGAGGGTGCCTGACTCCGGCACCTCTTGAGAACCACCCCACAGGGCCACTCCAGCAGCCCCTCCCGAACGCACCATCTGCCTGTGCGGCTTGCTCTCGGGGCGAGCCTTGGCCTGCCGGGCCTTCTCAATGTCCTCGGCTGTGAGGCCCCCCACGGGGGACTGGTCCTGGTGGAAGAACCTCCGCTGAAGGCCTGTGCCAGAAAAGGGGGCCCTGGTGTCCACGAAGAGCCTTCCATTAGCCCTGCCCAGTGGGGAGGCGGCCTGGCCCGGGAGCCCAGCTTCCCTAAAAGGCCCGCTGTCAACATAGGCCGGAGCGGGGCCCTCGCTGCCCGCGTGGTCCCGGGGCACAGACGGCGCCTCGTCGGAGGAGGAGGCTGCAGAGAACTCCACAGAGGCTCCCTCGGCCCTCGGCCCTGAGGAGTGGAATTCTGCTTCCGGGTCGTCAAAGCTCTCAGCACCGTAAGGCTCTTCATGCTTCTGCTGATTCTACAAGGAACAAAAGCAAGCGTGAGAGGAGCGAGAGGCCAGCCAGGAGCGCCTCCCTGTGTCCGCCCCCTGGGCACAGGACAGCACGCTGCCGCCATCCGCCCTCCGAGCCTGCAGAAGGTGACACCGTGCTCCAGAAACAATCAGCACCTTCCCAGCGCAGGGGCCGGGAGACCTGAATTCCAGCCCTGCTTCCTCCAGGTCCCCACTGCGTGGGCCCAAGCAGGCCACACGGCCACTGAGAACCCGCTGGGCGCCCGGCCGGGGCCAAGCCGGGAAGCATCACTCTCAGCTTCCTCGCCGGTAATCGGGGTGAAGGAGAGGCTTCAGGGGTTTCAGGAGGGTGAAGCAGGGCAAGACAGGAGAGCTGTGAGAAGTCAAAGCACAAGCACAGACCAGCGAGGCCGAGGGCAGCGCGTGGCCGGGGACGCTCCACCAGTCCAGGCCCAGCACAGCGCACGGTGCAGACGCAGCTCCGGCAGCCACCCTGGCGTGCCTGCGAGAGGCTCCCGCCCGAGCTCCTCACAGCCAGCACCCCCCTGGCCGGCCCTGGCAGGCAACGAGGTGGGTACACTATGTTGTCCTTGTAACGGGCGCCACGAACTGACCTTCAGTCCCAGGTTCTCTCTACTTTTGAACCCTGAGAGACCTTGAGTGAGTTCCTGACTCCTCTCTGCCACTTCCTCCTCTGAAAATAGGGTTCCCCACAGTCACAGGGATGTGGAGCCACAGACGGGGCCATGGGCACGGCACTGACTCCTGAAGGGAGGTCGGTGGCCCGGATTCCCTGTCCCCAGAAATGGAGTCCGAGCACACGGTGTTGCCTGTGGCTTCTGCAAACACAGCAGCAGGCGCTCGGCCTTCTCACTCTCAGCTTTATCAGAAATTGCAGAATCTAAGGAGATGAGATTTGCCTCCAGTGGAAGGAAAGGGACTGGCTGTGACTCTCATTGCATAAATGGGAAACAGGCTGAGAGAGCTAAGCAATCTGTTAAAGGCCCACCAGCCGGCCAGTGGCTGAGCAGGGGTCCCAGGCCACGTCTGGCCCGCTGGCCACCCCAGGGCCACCTGATGGCACATTTCTCAGAATGGAAGTAAACTGTACTGGATTCGCTGGGTGCCTCTCAAGATGTCCAGGAATCGCTAGGGAGAGGGGACTCGGTGACGGCTGCCTGGCCCTACATCACCACGCCCTGTTTATGTGGCCATGCGGCCCATGGACAGTGAAGGGGTCTCAGAGTCTCGATGGCACCAGACTTGGTTAAGCATTGACTGAAGCGAGAAGTGAACGAATCCTCGGAGGAGCTGGCGGGAGAGGTTTCTGGAGTGTGTGGCCCCCGCCCTCTGACAGGAAGGAAGCCCGGGATCCGAGCGCAGAGGGAGAGAATGGGAGCACGGTGGAGGCCGCCACCCTCCTGGGGCCTCCCTCGTGGTGGGGGACCATCCCCCCGCTCCTAGCTCTAAGTGACTGTGCTGAGGGCAGCCCTGCTCCTCCCAGAGCCCAGGCCAAGCCTGTCCGGGGGACAGAATGCGGGGCAGGAGCTTCACGGGAAGCCCCGCCTCGGCTCTCAGGGACCCCTGCTGAGCCTCGCCCGCTGTCTCACTCTTGGGCAGCCCCAGAGAGCAGGGCAACCTCACCTCCTGAGTGTTCCACAGGCTCCTCGCTGGAAAATGCACCGAACAAGGTGGTACGGCCACAGCCCGGCCTCACCAGGGGGAGTGCGAGAGCAGAGTCAGGCTGGGAAGAGGCCACCAGGATCTGGTCCTGCCACTTAATGATTATGAGCCTCACATCAAAGTTCTCAGTCTGTTTCCCTACCTGATGAATAGGCTAGGACAGCAGTAGGGCTCGGACGAGACCGTGGGTGTGAAGACTTCTAGAAAAAGGCATTTGTGTACAGTGGGAGAGAGACACATATCACCACTGGACCCTTAGAGAACAGGAGGCGAGGGGCTGGGAACCCGAAAACTGAGACTGACCTCGCAGGCTGGAGGAGCGCGAGTGTCCTTTGTCCAGGTCAGCCGGCCACGGGACAGACGTGGCGGGAGAGAGGCGGCAGGGCGTCCTCTGCAGCACAACCCCCAACACAGGCGCACACGTGCGCACACGCACCCCTTCCCAGCCCTGGGCTCTCAGAACAGCCGTAGCGGGCTGTGCGGGGTGAACAACGCTCTGCTACATCGGGCCCTGTGCACAGTCACCCTCCAGCACTCGTTGTTGCTTAAAACCTTCCCCTTGGGTTTTCCACGCAGAGGCTCTCTGGAGCGTGCACAGGGGACAGCATGAGGGATGAGGCGGAGGCAGGAGGTGAAGCTGTCCTCAGCTTTCACCCTGGAAAGGAGCACAGACCCAGAATCAGGACCAAGAGAACCGCAGAAAATCGAAGAAGAAAAACGAGGCCTGGCCCTGGCTCTGGCCCAGGGGACACCGTGGGAAGAGCCTTCAAAGCCTGAGGAAAGCCAGCAGACACACAGGCCCCTGTGGTGGCCCCACGCCGTCCAACGAAACCTGCGTTTCTCAGCCTGACCATGCCCCCGCCAAGCCTGAACACGGGTGGCTTCCGTCAATTCTTTACAGAAATCGACCCAACAAAAAAACACTAACATAAATCAGATAAAGTAGGAGAAAGCGCTCTCTCTTATGGAAGAATGTGTTTGCCTCAGTGAAGGAAGCATGCGGGCGTCCCTTTCAGCTGCCTCTCATAAGGAAACACAGCAAGTGTTACAATTTTTTTGTGGTTTTAATTTCCAAAATTAAAAAGGCCTCTCTCCAGTACCTCTCAGACAGGCCCAGGAACTGAACGTAGACCAGGCAGAGGGAGGTGGGCAGGTCACCTGCAGGCCTCTGTCGACTGGGCCTGGTCTCTCCAGATGAGTGCCAGTGAGTTACTAATCTAACAAGCGTGCTGGCCTACAAGCTCCTGGGGCTTCTTCCCACCTCTGTGAAGCCTCCTTTAACTAAAACTTGAGTCACACGATGGCAGCCTCACACAGGTACCCTGTGCCACCAGGAAGGAGGGCAGGTTACATTAGCCAGGGGGCCACAGGAGACCAGCCACCCCGGCTGTGTCCTGCTCTCACCAGCCCCCTCCAACCTGGCACCCTTCCCACCGGGCACCCCCCGCCCCACCCCACCCCTGGCTCAGCCTCCTTACCTGCACCATCCCCAGGACCGTGCCGATCTGCTCCGCAGCCGTGGACTGCAGGGCCCTGGCCGCCATGATGAGCTCCCCGCCGAGGCCCAAGTGCTGCAGGTGGGTTTCCACGGCCGCCTGGGTCAGCTTAGCAAGGCCTTTGAGGACCATGATGGCGTCCCCCAACATGGCAGCCATCCTACAGGACTGGAAGAGAGCACACCAGGTCAGGGGGCTTGGCAGCGGATGCCACACCTCATACGGGTCACACTCACACTGATCAACTCTACCCCAAACTCTGGGCAGAAGGCGACTGGCTGTTTGGTTTCCACAGACTTCCCTTCTGATCCAGGCTGACAGAGAAAAGAGAGGAAAGGCCCAGGGTTCAAGGTCAGCCGAGGCGACCCCCACACTGCAGGGCACTGAGCAGAACGAATGACTCCGAGGGGCGGGGGCTGTATGCCAGGCATTTCCTCACCCGAGTCTCACGGCGCCCTGGGAAACACTGGAGGCAGAAAGAGGTAAAGTGATTCGCCCAAAGTCTCCCAGCCACCAAGTGGCAGAACCGGGACTTGAATCGGGTATACTGACTTAGCCCTGGCTCTTTCCTCTGGACCAAACAGGAGGCTGGGGAGGGAGCATCTGCTCCAGAAGCAGTTCTCTGCAGGGCCCTGGGGGGCCAACCCGAACCCCCCAAGTGCTGACTGTCCCTGCCCGGCCACTCTCATTCTGCCCAGTGAAGCCTCTGACACACACCCACAGACCAAGGGACAACTAGGGCCCCCCTCCCCTTTCTCAGGCTCAACTATTCGCCAACCCAATGTTTTCAAACCACAGTGCAATCCATCAGGAAAAACCTATCAGCATTAAAAACAACACACCATAAACAGAAGAGTAAGCATCCGGGGCACTGTGGGCAGGGCTGTCTTAGGAAACTTGTTTTCCTGCGTGTGTGTACACGTGAGCTCCTCTCCCTCTTTTTTCTCTACTGGGTCACAGTCTAAAATGTGTTTCTTAATGTAGGTCATGGCCAAAGAGGCTGAAAGCCACTGTACACAGCCGAGCCCCACAGTGTGGGGAGTGTGCTGTCAATCACCCAAGTATTTCTTAAGGCCTGCAAGGGGCTGTATGCCGGGAAGCGTAAGATAAAGTCCTGTTAACAAACTGGGGCTAAAGAAAAATCACGCAAAGGAAGGGGCAGCAGGAGACCCCACTGAAGGAGCACTGTGGCCAAGACAGGGAAGGGCTGGGATCTGATGAGCCTCAGAGATGAGATGGAAACCGAGAGGAGAGGGGCGTGGGAAGCACTGCAGGCAGGGGACCGGCGTGAACAAACACGTGCGGGCTGAGCAGGGCTGGTACACACTCCGGACGAAGGGCGTGGACCAGCAGGAGGGAGGAGACGGGCAGAGACACCTCATGGATTCTGTCTTCTCATCAGACTAACAGAAGCACAGTCGGGAAGGTCAGGTAAGAGCACTGACTGGGACCTCAATCAGAACTCCAGGGACTTCTGAAGAAGGCAGGCTCACAGTGGGGGAGCGGGGGATGGCGCACGGGCCAGTCGGCCCACCGGGTCCTGCAGGGATGGCTCTGCTCCTGAACAGCTACTTTGATTTCAAGGAGAACCGTAGAGATGGCCAGAGAAACCCACTAATGCACAGGAGCCTGGAGGGCTGATGACGCACCATGACCTGCCCTGGAGGACACTTTCACCTTCGTACGAGAGCAGCCACCAGGTACTGGGCTGGGTGCTTTCCACACTTCATCGCCTTTTGCTCTTTATTAATGACTGCAGGACATGGATATAATTGCCCCCATTTCAAAAGGAGAAAACCAAAGCCAGAGAGCTTAACTAACTGGCCTGACCCTGGCCTTCATCTGCTCTGTGCCCACCAGTCCACGCTGCCTCCCCAAATGCTTGGTGCATGAACTCTGAGGCACCCCCATGGGCACAGGGCACTGATCAGGCACAAATGGACCACGTGTACCCAAATTAAAGCCAAGGAGGTTTTTAAAAGGTGATCATACCCTTGAAAGAGACAGTAGAGGGGGAGGGAGGCGAGCCCCGCCCATCACCTAGTGCCAATTCACACTCAGGCTCCCTCTGGGCTCCTGCACTTTATGGCTATAATAAGCAAGGGGGAGCCCTGCAGGCATCCCCAAATGTCTAGGACTGGGAAGAGATCACGTGATCAGAGCTCAGATTCGGCTGGTGCCAGCTCTCAACAACGCCCCAGCCCCCTGGCCCTACTCGACAGATACATTGTCAAGTCCAGGAGAAGCACCCATGAAGGCCCACAGACCCCAGTGAGGCAGGTGGTTTTTGAAACAGACGTCAGGGATAGGCAATGGCAAGGCGGGGGCCCCAGCCACATTTGTTCACATTTGAAGAACCCTTACTAGTGGCCCCAGGACCATCCACCGTACCCCACTGCTCCAGGGATCCCCAGAAACAGGCCTTCCCCTTGCTCACCTCTGAATCCAATCCAGATAACCAAGGACGACGTCTCCCATTGGCCACAAATCCCAATAACTCCAAAACCTTATCTTGTCTAACTGATCCCAAATCTTCCTTAAAACTTCTGAAGACCTATTTAATTCAGACTTTGTTTTCGGGCTTATTAAAACTAATTCTCCCTGAATTTCTCGTCCTAGTTATCAAAACCACACACTAAAATTTCACAAGAGCAAAGCTGATGAGCAGTTTTTTGGCCCATTTCCCTGGCTCTAGCTTGAATGGCCCACCATGCCGATGGGCGTTCACTTTGAATGGTCCGTTTCTGGTCCTGCACGGGCCCGCAGAGGCAGGCTGGCACCACCTGGGGCTGGCCCTGACCCCTGGTTTCCAAGCATGTCCGTTCAGCCCCGAGCACAGCCCTGCGACAGGCCGGCACTGCTCCCACTGCACGCTGACGCTTTTAACGAAATTCGTAAGAGGGGAAAATGTTAAAGAAACTGACTGAAATTTTTTAAAGTCCTACATTTGAGAAGTATGAGGAATAACAGTCTCTTTCAGAATCCTCCTAACTGTATTTTCCTAACTTTTTTAGTTCACATATCCTACTTTCAAAATAGCAGAGAAATAAGTCATCTTAAAAAGTATGCATTAAAAAATTAGTTATTGGTGAGGGGAGGGGGGAAAGTAGAAAAATGAAATGATAAAAATAAAAGGGCAGGGAAGGAAGGAAGGAAAAGAAATGAAAGAAAGAAAAAGAAAGAAAGAAAGCAAGAAAGAAAGAAAGCAAGAAAGAAAGAAAGCAAGAAAGAAAGAAAGCAAGAAAGAAAGAAAGCAAGAAAGAAAGAAAGCAAGAAAGAAAGAAAGCAAGAAAGAAAGAAAGCAAGAAAGAAAGAAAGCAAGAAAGAAAGAAAGCAAGAAAGAAAGAAAGCAAGAAAGAAAGAAAGCAAGAAAGAAAGAAAGCAAGAAAGAAAGAAAGCAAGAAAGAAAGAAAGCAAGAAAGAAAGAAAGCAAGAAAGAAAGAAAGCAAGAAAGAAAGAAAGAGAGAAAGAGAGAATTAGTTCTGCCTTTCTTCCTGCCTAAACGGCTGCATCCTCACACCCAAAAAACTCCCAGTGGGTGCGAGTCTCACCCTATACAGTGCGCACAGTCGGGACTGGGAGGGCCAGACCTCCTCCTCTAGAGGGAAGCCCCATCCACCTGGAAATACCCCTCCAGGCTTACTGTGACGCACACCCTGCTTTTCTCAAATTAACAGATGTTGCCAAAAAACAGCCTATATCACTTGTGAGCAGAGTCACACGTGGACGCCTATTATAAAACCACAGCCCATGCCCACACCCCTTTGACAAATAGTATTTATCTAACGTACCGGGGCCGAATCCAAACCTCCCACACTCTGCTCTGCTCCCTACTAAGTAAACCATTCACACTCCAATCGAACCAGGTACTTTCTTGCAAAGGAGTGTCTACCCTCGAAAAAGCAGGGGGAGGAGGGAAGAGGAACATCCACCAGAAGGAAATCTCTTTCCAGAACTTCTCTCACCTTTTGGTTTTCAAAGATTGGGTCTTACAGACCCTACTTCTCATGCCAGAATCCCAATGTGACTCAGAATTCAGCTACCCAGAATGTGGGTGCAAACAGCCTCCAGGAAGGCTCAAGAACAGGCACCCAGCGGCACCACAACTTTTCATCATGATCTTAAAGTCGAAAGCTCCCCAAAGGCATTTAATGCACAAATTAAAAATCTCATCCTCACCACAATTTCATCTACAATTTTTACAGCCCTCACTCCACTCCATCCTGCTGGTCTTCAATGGGTTTTGGGGACCTCACCTGGGAGTAACACAGGCATGGAGCGTTCAGACCCGGCGCACTTGGCAGCATGTGCCCCCGAGGCCTCAGCGCTCACCTGCTGTGCCAGGTGAGCACAAGTGAATATAGCAGTGGGGGTGTTGGACAGGTTCGGGAGGGCCCACGAGGTACGAGCACCAAAATGCAGTCATTCAGTCACTCATTGAACACACGTTCACTAGCGTCTGCTCCCAGTGCTCTGGGCCAGTCTGTGCAGGTCGGGGATGAACCTGCCCTTGGCCCCAGGGCACTCACAGCTGCGGTGGCACGCAGGCACACCTATAATGGGCACAGACACCAGGGAGATGGTCAGAGGCCAACTGAGGCTGACACGCCAGGATCAGGAGGTGGCTGACCAGTGGTAAAGCCTGGGCCCAGCTCTGTCACTGCTGCTGACACTAAGCATGTTACCTCTTCGTCCCTTTCAGTGGGGGAGAGCTCGGTCCTAACTTGCTGAAGTGCTATGCAGAAGTAAATAAAGATGTTGTATAGGGAGACAGCGAACTGAAATACATGCTGCTCACTACTCCCAGGGACAGAGACTGAGAAAGAAGCACAGGCAGGGTCCCCTGACGGGGAAGTCCTCAAGCCCCGAGAGGTTTTCCTGTGGAACCTTCGCTCTCTGACCTACCCAAGATGTCACCTCATCGAGGCTGGAGAACAAACTCGCAAAATGCTGCCAACCTGGCCAGATATAATAAGATGCACCAGCGGGAAAATGAGTTGTGTTCTTTTTCAAAAAATAAATATAACAGGCAATCCTGACAGGTCTTGAGTGGAAAAATGCCACTCAAGAGAAACTTATTTTGCGGGGAGCGTTCTCATACACACCCTAAGTCCTCCCTTCACAGCCAGAACTCATCATTGGTCAGCTGCCTCTCCTCACGAGGCGAA